TCAAGCTACATAATCCAACCCACAAAGCCAGTGCAAGGTTCAGTAAGTTGATGGGCTTGGAGAAAAAAGGTTAAACCTTCATAAGAGATAGCTTAGTATTTTTCTCCGATGACATGATATGGAAGATCGTTGGCAAAGAATGGCGGTCCAGAAACTGACACATGTAAGCACAACAAAAGAAAAACACAGGACCAAAATATTTACATAACCAGTCTTAGCTTTATTTATTAGGCAATGGCACTGCATTAGTCAAATAAACGACTTGACAAGTCCTGTGTCCATCATCCTAACCTAAATTTCATGATCAAGACTTGGCTCTTCTTCTGTTCATTTTACCTTACCTCGTAAATCTGTCGGTGCAGTTTTCGTAGGTCCAATGAAACTTCTTTCATACACGGGAACGCACAGAGAAAGGGGCGAGAAAACACTTTAACATCAGTTAAAACGAAACTTACACGATCGCAAAACACTAAACAAGAAAACACAAACAATGCAAAATCATTCCTTTCCTTCTACATATAACCAGTCGAACACCAAGCAAGAGCAGAATTTTTTTTCTTCCAGCTACAAACAACTGTTCAGCACAGGGGGGGGAGACAAAACAGATGGGGACGACAAAATAGAACAGAGGGGGAGACGACGAAACCTGGAGGAAAATGGCGGCCGAGACGGCGGCGTGGGCTGCGACGTGAAGGAGCGCGGCGACCGGTTTTGTGATTTTATTTAAAAGGGGCATTTTTAGATTATCAAAATATGACATAGACAAAACAGTCACAGCAGAACAAAATTACACCCCTTTCCACCATAACCCCTCAAAATGAGGGAAAGGTTTGGATCAATATTTTTAAAACCGTAGTCAATCGAAAAACTCAGGCCTCGTTTGGTATGATGGAATAGTTTTTGATGGAATTGAAATCAGAATTGGAATCAGAATTGGAATAGAATTGAATTATAAAAGTATGTTTGGTATGTCAGAAAAATTAGATGGAATCCTTGCATTACTTTTGTTTGGTATGCAAGACATGGAAATGGAATTATACTTAAAAGACAAAAATACCCCTATATAAAAATTAAAATAAAACATAATAAAAACTTAATTGTGTACCAATTTTCTTATGTATTTTATATATTAATGAAATATTATATAAATCATAGATTATATCTGTAACTATTATTTACTAGCTTGGGCCAAACAAAAAGTTTTATCATCAGAGGGAACATTTTTTTGAAAATAAAATTGGCAATGGTTCCCATCCCTTCTACTTTAAAATAAATACACTAACATGTAGATTTAGAAGAAAAATGTCAAACAAATCAATTCTACTTCTTATACCAAAAAAATATTATAAATATATAAATTATATACAAATATTATATATAATACTATCTTATATATATATTATAACGCTTTATATATAATGAGAAAAAATATCATTCACCCTTTTATACTCCCTTTTTCTTTTTCTTTTTTTTGCTAGCATATGAGGGTTTTATTTTTTTTTAGGGCAAATTTGTCTTTCTGGAATTTGTATGAGGGCAAAAGTGTCTTAAATATTACAATTCTATAGAATTGCTCCCAATTCCATAGATTTACATAAGGAATCAAAATTAGCTTTTTTCCATAGAATTAGGATTCCCAAGAATTGTAATTCATATCTACCAAACATCACTTTATTCAGATTCCTATCCCAAATTTCATTTCCATCTTCACAATTCCAACCTACCAAACATGGCCTCAGTTGTTTAGGGTTCACAATGGTTAGATCAATAATTGAATTGATGATGTAATAATTAAATTTAAAAAATTATATATATATATATATAATAATTTATATATAAAAAATAAATATAAAATTACTACTTAACTTAAAAATAAAACTAAATATTTTAAGTTTATTATAATTTAATAAGTTACATGATGCAACATAATATTAAATGATTAAAAAAATTAATTATTTTTTAAAAAAATTTAAAAAAAATGGCATCTTTTTAATAGTTCGGTTTTTAAAAATCAAACCTAGTTCCTAACTTGATTCTTATTCCCGCTCCTACTGTCAGTTCAAAATGGCTCAATTCGGGCCAACTCTCTAAATAATTTTTTCAACTTGATTGAACTATTATCCTGATTGATTAATGATCTAATGTTTGGTTTGATTTGATTTTTAATCATTGGCTTGGATTGGAGGGGAGTGGGGGAAGGGGCCCGCCCTATATTTTTAATATCCAAACTAGGGTTGTTCATGTAAGTCGGAAGTTTGGTACGTTTATTAGCTTAGTAGAATTTCATGTAGCCCAACCAAAAAAACAAATGAAACAGCCCAAAAGAATATGGCTATGTTCAGGCCCAGCATGGAAGCGAGTGAGATACGCCACCTTGCCTGAACGTTATATATGCTCGCGCGTGCACATATGCATATAATATCCTTATTTTTATATATATATCAAAGATTAAGGTAAAAATGTTCCTTTAGTCAATGATATAAGAGAGGACTTCTAAAAAAATTCAAGTCCCCTTTGACTAATTATTAGAAATGTATAGAATAAAATATATTAAAAATAAAAATAAGATGATCAGAATATAGAGAGAGATAAATGAACTATATTTATAAAGACGAAAGATAATTTAATTTATAAGGATAAAAATTATTATTTATAAAGTTTTTTGAAGATGTAATAATTTTTACATTTATGATGTATTATATTAGGTTTTATTATGTTTATAATGAAAATGAATAGCAATTTAGTTCATTTTTATTTTGAAGTTGAACTTTTTAATCCATTCTATTATTATCCTTTAAAACAACCAAACTAAACTTCAAATATTCCTTGACTCCTCTCATTTAAATTGTGGTTTTATTAAAAAAATTACATATATAAATCACCCTTATTGAAGTTCATATTAATGTTTTTTTTACATTTAAATTTTCATTATGTTTCTTTCTTTCTTTTTTTTCATTTTACAAGTATATTCCGTTTTTTATTTTTTTATTTTTTACTTTGTACCATATTAATTAATTTATAATTTTTTTTTTTGCATTTTTTGTCTAGATACTCCTCTTTTTTGTGTATCTTGAGGGGATTGGGTATTTTTTTCTGGATGCTCTTTTTTTGTTGTTAGGTTTAAGTTTTTAGTATGTATTTTTTTTCCTAAATTCTCCTCTTTTATATTAATTAATTTATAATTGATTTTATCAATAGATTTCTTTCTCTCTTTCTCTTGTTTTTTTTTTTTTAAACCATCACTTGAGCAGAGCGGGCCCATTTTGCCCAGCCTGAAATGCTTGAGCGTCTCATGAGCAGGCAGTGGAGATAATCTCTTATTGGAAACTACATTTCAAGAAACCTAGTACAAATACATTTCCACAAAAAAGCAAGGCAATTTATAACGTTTATATCTTATTCAAACCACATCAAGTGCAAGAATTCTGACATTTTGGCAATGCAATATATTTTTTAAAAAATATAGAATATATAAATGTAGCAAAATACAAAATATGATCCACAACTGAATCCAAGTCTTCTAAAGCTTTTTTCTTGGTCAAAAGGAAAAAACTATCATATATTAAAAAAACCAAGTCAGAAATGGCGAGCATCACTCACAAAACAGAGAGCACAAAGCAAGAAAAGAACAACCAACAGAACCAGAGCAAAAACAAGGGTCCAAAGGAATAAAAAACAGTTTCCCAATTTTCAACATGAAACCAGCTAGGATATTTGCCAGGGAAGAAGGGGTTGCAACATCCACTCTTTTGAGTACTTCTCCCTAAGAGCAGCTTGGGCACACCAAAAAATAGCTGCAATTTGAAGTTTTCAAACCCACTCAGTGATTAGAGCCAAGAGCTTCGCCAAGATTAGAAGAATCCACTAAAGCAAAGCAAATCTGTCCAGAACAAAATATAGCATTGAACATAACTTGCCCTAGTGAAAAACAAGCATATTCCTCCATAGCCCTCAAAAAACTTTTGACAAGGTCAAAATTGAACCATTTGTTTGTAGGGGGAACCCACCTCATATTGTCCTTAATTTTGCCACCAAGAATACTGAGAGGACTAACACAAATACTAGTAAGGTGTCTCTGAACTTAGATTATCAGCAATGCCCCCATTTAAGAGAACAATTGAAGATAAACTAGTGTGTGAAAACAGCAATCCCCAAATATTAAACCACACGATATATAGATATACCAGCCAAAGGAAGGTAAACCATGAAATAAAAAATCCTCCTCCAAATCGAATCCTTATTACAAAAAACGCAAAGATGCTATCATGACACATGGATCATCAACAAATTTTGTTTGTTACGTTTATGCATGGGAGAAATTATAATATAGAAACTTGGATCAACTTGCCTGAATAAGCCATTAAACTAGTTTCTTGACCTTTTTAATATAGTTCAACTATGGTTTTGATCATTGATTCTTGAATTAATGTTTTAATTAATTTAATAATTGATTCAATTGTTAGTACCTTCAATTTGTCCTACTCAATCACTTCATCCCTTTCAAAATAGCTATAGACCACAATTTCACTTATCTCGCTTATTGCACTCTCATTTCGATAGAGGCTCATTAGAATTACTTTCTATGTGAAATTTGGATTTTGCATGTGAGATTTTAATTATTAAATTTTTATTTTTGTTTGAAAAAAATATTTAAATAATATGGCATGCCTAGCTCTAAGCCATAATGATTAGAGTTGGGCTTTGAAAATTGCTAAATTTCACAGAAATGTGGCTGTAATATGGAGCTTAGGTGGGCCTAATGGACTGTCCGTTTTCCTAGCTTTAAGAGAAAGAATGGGCTACATGTTCGAGGCAATTAAGGCAGTGTTTTATTTTGGGGAAAGTGACAATTAGAAATGATACAAGAACATTAATAACAATTAGAGATCATAAATTATTGAAATTCTAATTACAGACCTTAAATTATGATTATTTTTGTTAAATTTTTATTCACAGACTTTCATAAAAATGATCATCTTCAATTCTTCGTTGAATCTCCTTCAAGGTAAGTCCTCTGCTTCATTCTGATCTGAAGTTTTCTTTAATTCTTCTTTGCCTTTGCCCCACAAGACCGTGTATAGTCCCAACACTATCAATATGGATCCTATTATGCTGCAGAAATTTCAAGCCCAACCCAAAAAGAAAAAGGTACGTATATATTAGTTACCCATCTTTCTATTCTAATGTTTCAAAAAGTATCTAAATACTTATATAATATTAAATTTACAAAAATTATATTATTTATAAATCATGGGCAGTATAATTTATTAAAATAAAATTAATTTTCAGTTCTTTATAAATTTTCTTAATTTTAAGTGAGATTATGGTGATTTATTTTATTTTAATCAAACTCTTATAGTTTGATTCATTAAAGTTATTAATCCCTGAAGGTTAATATTACTGAATATTCTCTTTAAAAAATAAAATTAAGAACTTATATATTTTTATTAAAAGATTATATAACTTTATAGTTAGTTATATTTTTAACTCAAAAAATATATAATTATATTATACCTTCTAAATAATTTTTATAAAAAATTTAATACAAAAGGAAACACAGTAGTAAATCCATTTTTTTGGCCAAAGATGTTAAATCAAATTTTCTATAAGCTTCAAAATTATTTTTGTTTTAAAAAAATTAATCATTCATTAATGAATGTTAGCTTTCAAGGATTAATATATCTAATGGATTAAACTATAAATGATTGATATTGGTCATAAATTATAAGTGCTTAATAAAAATAAAATAGACTAGATATATTTAATTTAAGATCTAGGAAAATTATAAGGACATGCAAATTAAAGGTATATGAGTAAATTATTTTCTAAACTTTAGATTCAATAGCACTATAAATCTTGAACTTGTTTATTATGCAAATTATTTTTTTAACTTTTGAAAACAGTATAATCTAACTCTTATCATTAGCAAAAATTGAGTTTTATTGTTAATTGACCAGAAAAGGATATAAAGGATATCAAAAATTATAAAAAAAGACAAGACAACTAAGGGGAAAAATTAACTTTTGTTAATAATAGGAGTCCTATTACATTATTTTTAAAAGTTGAGTAAATAATTTATACAATATATAAATTTAAAGTTTATAGAATTATTGGATCTAAAGTTTGGAATAATTTGCTTATATATCCAACTAATTTTGTCATATATTAATTACTATGCACCTTCCCAAGTGTAACCTTTCGTCCAAGACGAGAGAGCTGGCAACGGCAACTAGTATGAGAAACAGAGGGCTGAAAATGGAAGTGTAAAGTGGTCCTTTCAATCGTACGCACCATGTGATTAGAACCCAAGCTATTCCAGATGCTACAATTCCCTATTAATACAAATTAAATGTCACAATATAACTAATCATTTGCTGTAAATGGAAGTATAAATTGCTCAACAATTAATTACTTCCTCTACCTTAAATTATAAAATAATTTAAAAAAATTATTTTCTTTTTTAAAATAAAATTATAAATTTTTAAAAATATTTTTTCACACTTAATTATTACTCTACAATTATTATCTTAATTCTGTAGGGTAATATTTAAAAATTATCTTATATTTTGCAATAAAAAATTTCCATATAAGTTAGAATAAAAGAAGTATTAATTAAAAAAGTTTATGTGCAAAACGGCACCGTATAGGCAGCCGTGAGAAGCTGGATATCCCAGCCAAGTTTCCAACGATTCCAATCTCGTTCCACGAAGAGTGCAAATGCGACTGATTGTATTGACGATATCACAGACATCAGTGCCGCGCTTGTGTAATTCCATGGGAAATTCTCACTCATCATTGCCTATAAGTAAATATAATATTAATATTAGGGCTAGAATATTGCATAACATGCATAAATAATAATAATAATAATAATAATAATAATAATAATAATAAAATTCATCTAAAATATATAAAAGACAATTTAATTTTTTAAAATATCATAATTTTACTGAAATTTTTAAAAATTTTTCTGTCATTAATAAATTTATATAAATGATTACATTGCCCTTATTGAAAATAAAACGATTCACAAGTTTTATTTAAATAATTATATCTTTTTTCTTATATTCGTAATAATACAATAATAAATTACAATTTTGCATGTTAAATTCATGATTTGTTCTTGTATTGTTGCAAATATAAGAAAAAAGTTGTAATTATTTAAACAAAATGTATGAATCATTTTATTTTCAACAAAGATAATTTAGTTATTTATATAAATTTATTAATAACAGGAAAGTCTCTAAAAATTTTAGTGAAATTATAATATTTTAAAGGACCAAATTATTATTTATATATTTCAGAAAGATTTTATTATCAATTTTCCTCAAAAAAACTTCTTCATACACCCTTTCAAGTTTATAAGGCAGGATATTTTCTACAGGCTATTGGTATTAAAAAATAGAAAAAACAAGACATCTTGTAGTTTTAAGAAATATCTTTTTATTTTTACCTTTTGTATTGGTTAATATACATGAGACATTGCAAGTCGTAGTTATAGATAAGGGAAAAATTTAAAAAATAAATAAATCAATTTTTCATGAGATTTAGAATAACAGTAAATTTTATTATTGAAAAAATATAACTGTTACTCCATTCGTTAAAAATATGTAAAGTATTTGTTAAGGAGTTGGATGTTAAAAAATGTAAAGTATTTTTAATCTTTTAAAATATAATCATTACATTTTTTTTCAAAAATGTTTCTATTGATAAATGATTTTATATTTATTGTAGAGTATTTAATGGGAATAAATATAAAAAAATATGATTAGTTTAAAAGAACGTAACTATTTTATTGGAGTGAGATTTAGTTAAAAATGTATTATATTTTTTGAATGGAGGGAGTAGTTCTTTAACTTTAATTTTTTTAATTATATATCAATTTAATCCCTAAATTAAGAATCCTAACAATTTAGTCTTCACAGATTCTTAGTTCGGAATAATCAAGTTATTATATGTAGTTTCTTTTATTAGAATAACTCTGTACTTATATAGTTTTGACTTAATACAATTCAATAAACTGCCAAGATTAAATTGTATAAAATTAAAATTTAAGAATTAAATTGATAATTGAGAAAAATTTAAGAGCTAAAAATTACATTATTGTTTTAATTAATATGGGTTATGCTTATACCCGTCATAAGTGGCTTATATTATATACTAAAAAGGAATAAATTATTTTATTTTTTTTAAAGATTCTATTTCGAATTAAGAATCAAAATAGAATCTTGGCATTGTTCTGTTTTTTGGTTTTTCTGTTCTTAAAAACCATTTATATGATAGTTTTTCAGGATAAGTTTTGAAAACAAAAAAGTCAAAAAAATTTATTTGAATTGTTATTTTAAAAATATATTTAAACTGGTGAAATAAAAGATGAAATAATAATTTATTTTATCAATATAATTTTCATTAATAGAAGTATGATATTTTCTATCTTTTCTCTAATTTTTCCGAACAAAAAGTAATAAAAAATTTAAATAAATGTTCTAGTTTTTTAATTTTTTAGAATTACCTTTAATTTTTTTGTTTTTCAGATAACAAAAAACACATTTTTAAATATTTTTCCAATTTTTATTGTTTTTCAGGATAAAAAACGGTTTCAAAAATAGGTACTCAAACATGCCCTCACGTTTCTATGAAATTTTTAGTAACAATTAATATAGAAAATTTTTGAAAATTTAAATAAAATAATAATTTTTTTACGTATATTATTTTACAAAATAAAAAAAATCACTTTTTTACTTTGGTTTTAGTAATAAAAAGTGACATATAAATCGACCGTCCTAAAAAAAAAAAAAAAAAAGTTCAGAGAATGGATATGAAAGTGACCGACCTGAATAATCAACCAGAGAGAATAAGAGAGGCAAGTGCCCAGAGCCAAGCAAGAGCCGCAGATTTGCGTCTCCGGAGACTCACTGTGTGGTGCCACGTGTCGCATCAAATTCAAATGAGTTGGCCACAACGGTATCCCTACGCCCTTGTAAAACGTCATCACCATGGCCCCAACAATTCCCATTACAGTCCCTATTATCTTTGCCTTCCCTGTCACTGTTCTTATCTTCATCTTTTCCACTCTAGTTAAAAAAAAAAAAAAACCTCTTTAATTCTATATATTCCCATCAAATTATTAGTTTAAGAATTCATTAATTTCACGTGATCCAACTAGTGGTAGGAAAAAAATAAAAAAAATAAATAATAAAATCCTCTTAAATTATATAAATAATATTTTAATTTTTTAAAATATTATAATTCTACTAAAATCCTTACATACTTCTGTCTCAATAAGTTTTAAAATTAAAAGATCATTTTACTTTTATTAGAAATAATAAATATTTGATAATAACTTTTACTTAAAGAATAACAATTTTTGTTATGTGAATAATAAGATTTAAACTAAAAAATCATAATTTATCAAGTGAAAGTTTTGTTATTGAAAAATAAGTTTTTAAAATAACAAGTCATAATTATAAATTTTATTTAAAAAATAATAGCTTTTATTTAAAGAACTGTAACAATCAAACAAGAAATCACAACTTGTTAATAAGGGTAACATAATATTTTTAATTTAAAATTTATCGACACAAAAGTTTCTAGAAGCCTTTAATGAAATTATAGTATTTCAATGGACCAAATTATTATTTATATGATTTAAGAAAATTTTATTATCATTTAAAAAAAGATATCTATTTAATTGAGCTTAATTTAAATATTGTCAAATCTAATTAGAGATGGCCCTTTCAAACATGTTTTTTTGCATTAATAAAAATTAGAACTTGACCTTACTCTACCTTTTAGCTAAGATCAAGTGTAGAACTAGAATTTGAAACTTCGTGCTTAAACAACTAGTTTTTAATTATACATATATTAAAATATAATAAACGAAATTAAATGAATTATTACTTGTAGTTTTATAAATCATATTTAAATCCAAATAAATTGATGATAACCCTAAACCTAAATGATGGCTTATATTTGATGTACATGTAACTTGAGTTAAGTTAGATTTTTACCAGAAAAAACAAAAACTTGAGTTAAATTAGACGACGACGACGACGACGTACCCAAAACAGACGGCTAAGACAAAAGTTACACCGGGAATGAGGTTGTACATGGCCGTAGCGTATGTCGCCCCAGCTAAAGCCACTGCCTCCACAAATAAATTTTGTTGCAATGATGCCCTGAGAGGTCATCATCGATTAAATTATCTCTCAGATTTATTTAGCTTTTGATTTTTTTTTTTCAATTCAATTAATCATATATTCATTTCAAACAATTTTTTTTTAATTAAAGGAACAGATAGGACTTAATGGCTTATATTTCAAGATTATTGGCTACAAACACAAATGTTAAATGATAGAGTTTGATGAACATGTTATTTTGGTTGCAGGGTTATAGAAAGATATGGTTTATAGATAAATTCCATAAAATGATGAGAAGGAAAAAATATCTTTATATTTTCAAAGTTCTAAAAGAGCTTATAATTAACAAGTGCAATTAAATTTTTAACAAATCTAATGATATATATATAAATTTTGAATAGTATAAATCAATCAAATAATATGTAATTTATACTTTTCTCAAATCTAAACTTTATTGCATGACATGACAATTATTATAATTTAACTTTTTTTTGGGCTAGAAGAACAATTATTATTATAATTTAACTTACCCAAATAATCCACAAAGAAATGCTTGAAAAAGGACTTTCCCTGTGATTTTCGGTTTGCTCTTCCTGCGATCACACCTTACAAATATCATATTGTCATGGAGAGAAAATCGGATAGATCATTTTGAAAAATCACAAACTTAAAAAGTGATGAGAAACATCAAAATAAAGGTTTAGCAGCAAAAATAATAGAGCAAAAGTGGCAGGGACCTGTCCATGAAGAAAGCAAGAGGAAGCATGAAAGCAGAAGCGAAGAGGAAACGATAAGCCATGAGGACGCTCAAGCTGGTCCCTTCATTTGCAACCATTTTGTATAATATGCTGACGCCAGCATATGCCACTTGAACCACTATCATCATACAAGCTGCCTTCAAATCCATCTGCAATTATTTGAGAGTTACTCTCTCTCTCTCTCTCTCTATATATATATATATATAGCCTTGTGAATTCTGATCAATTCTTACTCATCTTAGCTTCTCACTTAGCTTGGCTTAGTGTTCGTGAGAGTTATAAATACAACTAAGTGGAAGAATAAGTTAAGTGGGGGACTACTATGATATATATATATATATATATATATTTGCCTTCGTTGGTTGAATCATAATTAAGCTCCTAATTAACTTGACTTAGCTTTTAGTGTTGGTTTCTTGTGTATCCAGCAAGAACAAAAGATAAAAGAGAAGAAACTAAATTAAAGAATGACTTAATCAACAAATATTAGTCTAATATTGGCAAACATGCAACTCATTTCTCAGAAATGAAATATTGATTCAAATCCCATTCTCACCTTAGTTATGAGCATCACTACAAAAAAATTGACTTTCAGCGGCAACATTTACTGCCGCTGAAAGTCAAAAAGTCGCCGCTGAAATTTTTCAACAACGACAAAAAATTATCACAATGTTACTGTTGAATGTTAAGTATTAGTAGTGACATTTGTCGCCGCGGAAGCTACCAATTAGTGGCGAATTTTTTGTCATTGTTGAAAAGTAATATTGATTCACTTACACACATTGCACCACGTCACCGTCCACGTGGCGCCATGTCATCCCCACATATATTGTTAATTTTGAGTTAAGATATATTGTTAATTTTACTATTCATTACTTATTTGTTGTCTACTTGTTCTAGTCTTATGTCACTCCCTATTTGGTTTTGCATTCTTTACAAGTGTGGCAACACAACCTAGTTTCATTTTGAAACTCAAAAATTGGGCTTACCACAATTGCAACGGCAAAGACTTGGCATTTGTGGTGTCTTTAATATGGAAAGCTAATAGACATAGACTTAAGGGTGGGATTTTTTAGATGTTCTAGTGTGGTTGTGCCTAAGTTAATGTGGGAAAACTCAAATCAGTAAAGTTAAGCATAATAAATAATATAAAATAAAATAGAATGAAGGACTCATAAACTTGAGGTTTAATACTTTGACTTAAAAAAATGTGCTTTTCTCTATTTCTCATCATGCGTTTTTTCCTCCTTAGTTTTCGAGTTTAACCCTCAACTCCTAACAAGTAATCGTATAGCTCAGTTTCATTCAAGGTTGGTATGTAAAAGACAATATTAAAAGTTTGCAATTACATATACGTTTGAGTCTAAAAAATGAGGCTAACACTGATTATTGTGGTGAGGACTTTGTGTTTGTTTCATACTCAAAATCAGAAATTTCATTTTGAATAAAATAAAGCTTAATAACAACATATAATAAAGTAGAAAGACTCATAAATTAGAATCTTAAAATTTAGAGATAAGATGCGATATTAATTCCACTACTCATTGTCTATTTATTCTCTCCTCCTATGCATTACCGCAACAATGTGTATATGTGTGTATATATATTAATGTTTGGTTTGCGTTCATATTTGTTGACTGATAATTAAGATGTTCATACATTATGTTTTAGTGTTTGATTTATTATGTATTAAAAGAAAAAAAAGAAAAAGAAAACAAAAGACGGCATCTCATAAATAGATTTTCATCTTCTCTCTCTCTCTCTATATATATATATATATATATTTAAAATTTTATTAAAGAATTAATTTAATTTCTAAAGTTATGGTTAACTTTGTTCATAGTCTCTATTATTATACCAAGTATCATTATCATATCAACATGTGTTACCACATCTAAAGCAAGTTATTTTGGGAGATTTTGATTAAAGTTGGCCATACCTCTAATAACTTTTTTCTTAGTATTATGAAAATTAATCCATAGGTACTTTAGACCAAGTTGATCACAATTCTAGAGACAAAAAACCATATTTTCCGTGAATTAAAAACGTAAAAATAACATAAATATTCTCACTTGAATGCTGCATTTTAGTAATTACAGAGTTATATATATATGTATATATGTATATAAACTGTTGTTGCTCCATCCGGCTCAAAATGTAGGCAATTTTTTGTTAAAAAATTCATATATCAATAAAGTCCTCGTTCTTAAAAAAATATATATTGTTTTTCTTTTTAACTTTTTGTCAATTACTAATCATTTCATGATGAATGAGAGAAAAACTTATACAATGATAGATTTATATTAATAAATATAAGAGGTAAAATGAGAATTATTTTTTATATATACTATATTATTTATATTTTGAATCAAGATTAGTTTAAAAAAATGTTTATATTTTGAACTGGAGGAAGGAAAATAATTTATCAATTTTGATTCATTTCTTCTCTTCTCACCATTTGGGGGAATTGCCGAGCAGTTTCAGTTGAACTAGTAACTTCATGAATGCAAGACAATATTAGGCATCTGACGTATTTTTCTATCTAATAAAATTTTGTTATCATCCCATTAATTAAAAATGATTAAAGTCTTATTAAAAAATGATTAAAGTCCCATTCATCGTACCCCTCATCGTGACGTTGAAGAAAAAGGACATTATTATTGCTAATGATGATACCTAAATGCTAGGAACATTCAACGGTCGTTTGATGTTTGTGATTTGGTTGGTTGTAATTTTTTCCCCCGTTTTAATCAGAGTGATCATTTGGGTGATTGTTATTTTGTTCGCTTATGCACCATGCTTAGTAATTTAGCGCAACATGTAAATGTTCAACATTTTTTTAAATAACATAATTAATTGATAGCAAATTGCATTTTTTATAACATTATGAATGCTATAACTCATTTTTAAAATTCTATGTAATGTTAAAAAATATAAATAAATTATAACGTGAATTTCTCTAAAATATCCAAGTCACATGGGACCCTCATTGTGGTGTTCAAGAAATTACACTACTATAAGCAAGACTTTTTATATTGTTTATTTTGAACTTTTCATGTTAGTTATTTAGAGGAAGTGCAAAAAACTATAGTAAAAAATCAAACTTTTTACATCAGTTATATAATGGATGTGAAAAAGACTTTCAATATTTGTTGATTACACATAATCGATGTGAAATATTGCATTTCCACACATTTCCACGCATTGCTCCTTGATTGGGCCTGAGTGGCTCAATTCCATTTCAGATCTGATTCAAAGGTTATAACCACAACCCAATAGGTTCATTAGTGTTTTCTAACCATCTCAAACCCAATTTTTACTTTAATTCACTTAAATTTACTTTCTTATCCTTTATTAACTTAATCAATTCAGAAGTTAATTTCTCAGATGTTATAGTATGTGAGGTTTAGGTAGTTTTAGAAAGTTGCATAGACATTTCAATATTTTATATAATTTTTGTTAAATTGAGATTGAATTTTGATTGTTATTATGTAATTAAACTATAATTAAACTATTTTGGTTCACTATGATTGAATTTTCGTGTCATAGGATGGGAAAATATGTAAAAATAAATGTACTATTTAAAAATAATATTATCTACAATGGTTGTCCAGAGTTAAGCTTGACTAATGTGGTCTTCTAGCCATCAAAGCTAAACAATATGTTACCCTTAAAATTCCTCAGCTATTAATAAATACTTGGAAAGACTAGGGGTATACGCATCTCCATGTTGGAGTTGTTCTTCTGATCTTAATGCCCCATGGGAGAAAAGATATTCCTACTACAGTTAGGATAGCCTTGTTGAATACCTTCTAAAAATCTTATAATATTTCCTTGATCAATACACTATTGACAACTCTCAATAAAGGGAGCATAATCCTCACCATAGCTCTCGACTTCAACATCAAATTGACAGATTCTACTCTCTCTATTGGACTAAAGGTTCAAGTCTAAATATATAGAGTAGAGCAAGACCCCATGGCCACTCTTCACCATCAAATCATTTACAGGTTACAGGATCATTCACTTGATCTTTGCTTTCCAAATTCAACAAAGGATGCTTTGTACATGAATGCTAAAAGGCCTGGTGAATCTTCAGTAATTTAGATCTTGAGACATCTATTGCTTGAAGAGCTTGCACAATTGATGCTATTAAAATGGATTAACAACTATGAAAAGGAGTTTCATGCTAATAAAAAAGATGTCTACATGACAGATTCTCCTATTCTATATAGATTGGGAGATGGTATTGTTATCAGTCTTTAAGAGACTTGGATCCCAAGATCCAACCTAGATCTCTAGCAAAATTTTGACAATTGCAACAGCATATATTCAACATAAAAAGGACCCTCCTATTGAGTGGTTCACACAAGAATCCAAGCCAATCTATGTTTCTCATATTAATGGTCATTTTATTTAGGATTTTTCCCTAGAAATGTATGGTCCTAGTTGTGACTGTGATTTTTGGGATAACTTTGATGGTCATGATGACTAGTATGGTACACGAAGGATTTCTGAGAAACCTAAAAAGCTAAGATATTCTTGCAGACATAAGAGTCCTCTTTAGGATAATAATGATGATGACTATAGCCTAAAGCAGACTAGAAGAAGACTCTAGGTAGGACTTTTAAATCCTCCCACTGAAAAGAGCACCCTTTTCGAACTCCTTAAAAAATTAGGCCATGAAGATCTCCTTCCTTAGGAGAAACTTGAACATGTGATTCTAACATTCTTGGCTACTCAAACTCAATCTTTTCCTTGAATAGCTATGATGAGGCCTTATACGGAAGAATTTCCTCCTTTAAAATGTAGGACTGATGAAAGGTTTAAGGTTACTAGTAGACCTTTTATACTAGCAACTGAAGTATCCCCTCAAGGGACTCTTAAACTTGTCTCATTTATAGAAAAAGTTCTAACTAGCAGATTGAAAATGCTTTCAACCAAAACAAAGTCCTATATAGCATTGATTCCAAGATTGACCATCTTATAGGAAGAATAGATACCCTATCCTTATATGTGAATTAGATGGATGGGCAAGTGAAAAGTCTAGTTATTAGACTTTGTAAACAATAAAAGAAACTAGAAGTATATCTCAGGAGATATATCGATGAGAGATACTTTGGGCTTGACTTTACAAGAAAAGAAACAA